AATAAAAAATGCCAACTCACTGATTTGATCGGGGCAATAGTGCCTAAAATGTTGCAGAATTTTGCTCAGAGATCTTTTACTTTGTGGTCATCTTAGACGAGTAGTTTTATGGACAAAAATCACCAGGTCATTCAGTGTTCCCTTAGTGCTAATGTGTAAGAGATGTTGGTGTACTATAACTGAAGTAATGTTGTTAAGTCTAAAATATTTAGTCAGTCATTTGTTTAATAGTAATTTAACATTATATAATTCACATATAAAACTACCCCTCCGCGAATCGCTACCTGCTTTAGTGCATTGTGTGTAGAGATGGAATAAGACTGTAACATGACATAATGTGGAACCAGTTGAGTGTTCTGAATACCTTCCAGATGGACTGTACTCCTTTAACAAATATATGTATTTTCCATATACTGCAAAATTACAAAACAGGAATCCCATTTAATCCAGTATGTGGTGACAAACCCTTTTCTGAATTGTAACATAGCGCTGAAAAAAACACTGCTGTATCAGTAATAAATCACCCCAAGCAAGACAATGTTCAACAGTGAAATTACAGCAGTGAAATTATTAAAATGTCTCATTGTAGAATAATAAACAAGGACCTGCACGATGAAAGTCTGCTTTTTAGTTTGAAGACTAGCTAGATGAAAGCTATTGTACCTCAAAAGTATCCTTCAACTCAGGAGAGTATCTTGGGGTATGAAACTCAGTTGGTCCTTGGGTGTGAAACGAGTGCAATGAAACCTGTATCACAAGATTTTTCTTGGAAATAAATCAAAACTCAAGACAAAATGTCGTTTAGCTGGGTGAGCTGAATGTTTTAGAGTGTAGGAAAGTCAACAGTCTATTAACGACACACTAACTAGAGTTATACGAGTCATCCATCAAGTAAAGGCATACAGCAGTGCTGAAGTGGAAATTACCTCAGCACACTCGGAGGTGTTTTACCTCAGTCCTGTACTCCATCCACTGAAGAGAAGTTCAGCAGTTTCCAAAGACCTTATCCATGAACTGAAGCTTGACATTGGAGTTAAGGCCACACTGTCTGAGTAGAGTCACACTTTGACCACTGATTTCTTTCAGGGTCACTCTGCAGGAATCACTGCATGACTTGATCGGATTAAGATTAAAAGATTGATACATATGCTTCACATCATTTATTAGGAAAACAGTCATTTCATTTTCACCACAGAGAGGAACGACACATTTGCTTCTTAACTCTGAAAATAAACAGACATCAAACATTTTTGTGATTCATGAAAGAAATAAACTTATTCTATTTGTGAAATGGCTAATACACATGTCACATCAAACATGATAATCATGGGTAAATATGAATTTAAATATCAAATGTTTGCATTTAATCATAGTGTTTTTCTTCATGTTTTTTGGGGAACAGGAGTTATTTTATTTCAGGTGTCCATAATATCTATGGCAGCTCATCAAAAGGTCAACAATTAAATTAAAAAGAATGAAATCTTTTGAGGTAAACTCACCAGATGCTGAGATTCTGCATAGATCAGGCAAAGCAAGTTGGTCTTCAAAAGATTTTAATACAGAAACATCCACAGACATGCACATCAATG